TAATCGTTGTCAGCATTTTTGAATTTTCTGATAGTAAAACTTGTTGGTATGCATGTGCAAGATCAATTTTAGAAAAAGTTTGTCCACCTTGTAACTTAGTAAATAAATCCTCGATTCTTGGAAGCGGATATCTTTCTAATTCAATAACTGGATTTAAAGTTATTTTGTAATCACCACAAATCCGTACTGTTCCATCCGATTTTAATACCGGAACTATAGGTGTACCCCACAAACTATAGTCCACCGGTTCTAAAATTTTTAACTTTACTAATCGATCTAATTCGTTTTCTACTCTTTCTTTCAACGCAAATGGTAGTGCTCTCGGTTTAAAAAATTTCGGTACCGCTTCTCGTTTTAATTTAATTTCAATTGTGCCTTTTGAAAAAGTGCCCACTCCACTAGAAAATAATTCTTTATTTTCTTCACACAATTTGTTAACTAGGGTATTGTCAATATCAATAGTATTAATTTCTTTTATACCTAAATTAAATTTGTACATAAAATCTCTTCCTAGCAGTGGAGGGCCTCCTTTTTCAACCACAAAAACATCAATAGGGTGTGTCTTACAATTATAGGTTATGTTTACACAAATTATTCCCGCAGGATATATTTTTGCTCCAGCATAACTAACTAGAGAAGTTGTGGAATGAGATAATGGTAAATGTGCAAAATTTTTTGAATAAAAATCTTTTGAGAATGCTGTAATTGCGCTACCACTGTCTAACTCCATATCTACATAAATATCTTCTATTTTGACATTTATATTAATTGGAGAATTTTTATTCTCAACATTTATATTAAACACCTGTAAAAAACTATCGTGATTGTCTTCATTATCATTACTTCCAGTTACTTCTAAAAAGTGAGATGTTTTTTTAGTATTAAATGAACCACGAGGTTTTTTACAAACATTTGACAGATGACCTTTCTCATGACACTTATTACATGTATAATTTTTATACCTACATTTTGCAGATACATGGTTATCTTTTCCACATACCGTGCACAACACATTTTTACTTGTTCCTGCTACTGGGTGAGTCGTGGTAGTCATCCGGTTCCTCGACTGCTGTCTCCGCTGAAATGCTGTCGTCGAATCCTGATGTCTCGAACTGCTGGCGCCTCTCGCTGGTTTTACCCTGTGAACTTGCTCCACCAATGTGGTGTTTTCTTGGTAATAATACCTCACTGCCTCGACATTTTGCGCTATTTCAACTGCCTTTTTAAAATCCAGCGTATTAATTGACTCTTGTAAAAGTTTTTCTAATGCCCGGCACTTGTGCATTCCGAAAATAAACTTATCTCGGATAGCCACGTTTAAAAAATTTCCAAAATCACAATTTGTGGATAAATGCCTTACTCTCATAGCCCAATCTGTGATACATTCCCCACTTTCTTGATGTGCTTGGTAGAATAACATTCGTTCTCCCCATACGCTTTTCTTTACACAGAAATGTTCATCAAGTTTATTTATTATTTCATCATAGATTACTTCTTCGGGCTCTTTAGGTACTAACAAATCACACAAAATACTATAAGCGTTTTCACTGAGACTATTCAATAAGAATGCTCTTTTCAATCTTGAATCACTTATATTGTTTATTAAGAAAAATTGTGACACTTGCTTCCTGTAAACACTCCATTTGTTTACATTTGGATCAAATTCTCGAAGACTTCCTACTGTCATTTTCAAACCTTCACCGGCATTGCTGCTCGCACTTGCGGTCTCCGTGTTGCGATCTCCACCTTTTGGCATGTTTATCGTTTTTTCCAACTAGTGTAGAAATAAAAACCTAACTTTTTTTTAAACGTTCCAAATTTTCCTCGTCGCCACTGTGATGTCCTTGTGCACCTTACAACTTGTTAAGTACTCGATTAGAACTCATACAAACGGTGTTTCCAATATTAACATATATTTAAGGATATTGTACAAAAAACTTTTTAATTGACATTGATTCATATATATCAATAACTACCAAAAACAACGTATGCGCAGCCGCCATAATACTATACAATATATAAAATGTACTGTTTACCAGATATCGGTACAGCCTATTTTTAAAGATTGTGAGACTTTGTGCTCTTTTTATATCCAAACACAATTTATTATAAACTTTTAGGCCCAGATAAAAAGGTGAATTTAAAGACACATTATATTTAAAAAAAGGAAGGTGGAAATTTTTATTTTGTCGAGTGTCTCTTTTATGTATATTTTCGTTTATAAAGTTAGAAACATTTTTGAAAACATAAACAAAAATAAACAACGACACAACAGTTAAAATATTAAATTTTCTAAAAACATTTCTGCATGACATATGACTGGGAATTCCCGCCATATTCCTTAAAATTCGTTTCTGGACAACAAATACATCCGGTGATAAGGTGGAATTTCCCCAGAGGACAACTCCGTACCGCAATCTTGAACTGACTTGGGCGTTGTATACTGTTATTAACTGTGACAAGGTTAACACAGGTTTTAAACTTCTTATCAGGTAGCTGACGGAATTTAGTTTTGATATCAGCTGAGTGCAATGAGCCCTCCATGTCAAGCATTCATCGATCGTTATTCCCAAAAATTTAATATCCATCTCCCATTTCAATAAATCTGAGCCATTAAAAGTTACATTAATATTGCAGCAATTTTTTTGTCGGTTATGAAACCTAATTACTTGAGTCTTATTTGAGTTCAGAAAAAGATCATTAGAAGCGTACCACGCACCCACATCTTTCAGTAAAGAATTGGTTTTGAGCCGCAAGGCCTCGTCTGAGTTACCAGAAACCAATAATAATGCATCATCTGCATACATGACGGACGAGGCATCAGAAACAACATTGTCAAACTCATTTGTATATAGTAAGAAAAGGACAAGGCCCAATATAGACCCCTGAGGAACCCCCATATTAATATCTACCCGCTCAGAACTAACCTGCGACAAATTGCTGTTATCCGAGTAAGCGAGACAGACATATTGTTCACGTTCTTTTAAAAAAGATGCCACCCAATCATTAGCAACCCCTCGTATGCCATAGTTATGAAGTTTTAAAAGCAGCTTCTCATGATTGACACAATCGAAAGCTTTACTAACGTCACAAAATATACCAATGGGGGACTCGCCCGCTTCAATATATAGTAACACACTCTGGTAGAAGTCAAGCAAGGCAGTACTAGTCGACTTCCCAGACTGAAAACCGTGCTGATGGTCAGAAAAAATTTTATGTTTTGCAACAAATTTCAAACAAGCTGTCTGTGAGTCACTTCACTAAAATTGATGGTTTTCCCTGCAAAGTGAAAAAACTAATTTCCTCACCTATTTGTTTAAATAGAAAAGTTAGCTAATAAAAGTTTTTGACTCACGAGATGAGGGATGTCTTGTATTATGTTCCTTTAGACAATTTTACAATAATCTTGTGGATAGGACTTTTTTCAAGTAAAAATTTTATTTGCTTGGCCTATAAATAGTACAACCTTCAAAACCTTCAATGTGGAAAACTCTTGGTATAAACGAGCTTTTATAATAAATCTCGAGTCGAATTCGGCGATGTAAAGCAAAAACCACATGAATTACTCTATGCCTGAGCGTGACTCAGACGTGTGCAAAACGCAACATTTTGCAATCCCGAGTCACATACGGGTTTAGGCCTGGGTAAACAATTGCCGATCCGACAGTCATCTCTATAGCCAAGACGGCACAAATCCCTGTGTGTGTCATAGCCTTAAACCTTTTTAATTTCAGTGTGGCAGAACACTAATATCTGTTTTGATTTGAAAATTGTATATACTTTCTAAATCGGCTAAAGATAAGTAGATGTTTATTTAAAAATTAAAGTTTACTGCTACACAGAATTCTTTGAAAATGTCTTAAAAACAACAAAATATTTATTCAACAGTTTGGATTAGGTCTATCACCAATGAGACACTGAGTATGATCATATTAAAATATTGATTTTGGTGAAAAGTAATCATATTTTGCTAATGAGGTGTGGGATAGTACTTTTTAGCATCTCAAAAAGAACTTTCATGTTGGCAAATTTGTAAAAAAAATTAGTAAATAAAAAATTTCAGAAAATCAGAGTGGTTGACCCCGAAATGTCAAAAAAGTAATTCAGTCAAATATCTTTAAATATACCGTCTCTCCTACAGATGGTATCGTGCAGAGTTCTCAGATATCTCATTTATGGTGAAAGATATGGAAAAATTATTTTTTGTATGAAGTGTAAGAAAGTCATACCTAATTGATTTTTTTGTAGAAAGGGGATAATTGGATTTTTGGCATAAACTTTTAAATCAGTTTAGAAAAATACTAGCATTTCGAAAAAAAAAATATATAACCCCTTTATAAGGCAAATAAAAAAATGATATGTTTGTCATTTAAAAAAATGTAATTGGTCAGTACAGGAAAATCGGAACACCCGTTACAATTCTCCATATCTTAATTGTATACACCTTGAGAAAAAAGAGAGGGTTACTCTTAAAAATGTATTTTTTCTACAAAACTGTTAAAAGTGGGCTTTTTAATTGTTATTTTTGATGTTAGAAATGTCATTTTTTGACACGCGTGTTAAAAGTAAGTTACTTTTAACACTAGTGTTAAAAGTAACCTACTTTTAACAAGCATGTCAAAAAATGACATTTTTAACATCAAAAATGACAATTAAAAAGCCCACTTTTAACAGTTTTGTAGAAAAAATAGTGTATGATATATAAATAGCTATTATAATATAATTCAAATATCTGAGGTCCCGGTACCAGGCGGACTGTAGGCTGTAGGTATCAGCCGCATTTGACCGCAAATTTCTTTTGCAATTTTTTGCCATGAAAGGTCTGTCTGTCAAGAAATTATTCCCTAAAAATGGTACGGATCCTACCCTTCATTATCCAAGTATGACCAGCCATATAAATAAAGTGAATTATTAATGTTTTTCTAACCACAAACATTTATACTTAATGAAGAATGGTATCTTAAATATAATGCTACAATTTTTATAATTTCTTATCATAGGCTGCAAAGGAATGTTTAAACAAAGCTTTTAAAAAAGCGCAACTGGGATCTTGGGTATCTAAACCTCTAGAACAAGATATGTTTAATATCATAGAGTAAAAAATTTGACATTGGTATAAATGCTTGTTTTAAAACCAGGTTGAGTTTATATGCACTAATTAAGCTTTTTCATTATCATTTGTTCTATATAATAAAATAGAAAATAAAATAAATTTAACTAGTGAAAGTAATGATTTTTTTTCTAGAAAATTCCTTTAATCCCAATTTTACAGTTTTCTACCACTTATTTCGCAATTATGGGCTGAGGATTTGAAAAGTCCCCACATGACATAAGAAATGAACATACTACATAAAATTTCACTATTCAAATACATTTAGAAAATATTGTAAATTAAGTGTTTATTTCTCCTTCATTCCTTCAAACATCAATGCGTTCGTCCATTAACACTATATGAATATTATTATTGACACAATGTTGCACATAATTTTGACAGTAAGTTTGCTATAGTGTAGTTTTATAAAAGATATTAAAATAAATCTCCAGTTCCAACTACTTTTCTTACAAAATAAATATATTTTATTTTAGAAAATACTATACCCTTGGTGTTATAATGAATTTAGTGCATTTCTAAATAATTGTTAATAATTTTTTAATCGGTGGCATTATGCTATAGCCAAAAATAAAATTGTAAAATAATCAGAACATAGAAAAGGAAAGATTTTTTCCATCACTTATCCTACTTCAGCAAATAATGACAATGTTAGGCATTGGACAGCATGGATAAAGTTAACTATTTTGTTCCATTTTCTCAATATAATTATAGAGGTCGAAAAATGATCAGATACAAAATTTTTTATGGAAAATGGTCCATTCAAATTTGTAGAGAAAAATTCTCTTTAAGGTCGAGTAAGTTTTTTTCTCTTCGGGCGTTCCAGGTTATTTTCTGTTTAAATTGTTCACATAGGTAAGTATAGTTGCTATGAGGGAACAAGAATGCATTAACTTAAGTAATTATACCTTTAATAGTTATTAAAAAATTGATCAAAAACTGTTTCACATCTAATTTTTAAAGGCTCTTGGGAATCATTTTGGGAAAAAAATTTTAAGTCTTGTTTTTTTTTACTGTTTTGATTAGCCTTGAAAGTTTATCCCAACATTCCTGTTGAGTTGAACCCTATACAGGGTGTTCCACCTAAGAGGGATTCTTTTCTTGTAACTCTGCAACTGCAAAATTTATTTAAAAAATGGTTTTAATTAAAGTTGCCTGGAATCGTGGGCTATGTAAAGAAAATATTTTTAGCTTTACAGGTTGACAGTTGTTTTTGAAAAAACTCTATTGTCATCTGTGAGCAAAACGTGTATCTTATTCAGATTCGGAAATACTGAGACCTACATTTAATAATCTTACGAGTTGAAAAACTCTTTTTTTCAAATGGAATGACCCATATTAATTGTCATGGGTGACTGCAAAATTGACTGCCCTTTCGACTGATATAAGGTTGTCCATACGTATCTTTAACAGTTTTCCAGAAAAATGTAACAGCATCAAGAAGGCCTTGCAAAACCGCTTTTCTCTCACATTTTATCAGGCCTGGGTCTTTGTTAATATTTACTGGCATGTTTAAAAAGTGGTTTGACAAACAAAAGTAAACCACTAACAACAACTAAAACAAAACGCAAAACGAAACAAACTCGGAACACAACAAGGAGAAGAATACTGAGACTGCTGATTTACATCAATTGCTTGAAGTGTCCTTCATTTTGATTAATACACAAACGAACTCGGTTTTTAAAAGACTGTTCAACACTGGTCAGCATATCTGGCGTAATTTCTTGAAATGCTACTGTAATGCATTGCCACATATCTTCCACCGTAGGTGGTGTAACATAAACTGCTTTTTATAAACCCCTATAAAAAGAAGTCGCAACTTATCGTATCTGGACACCTTGAAGGCAAATTCATTGGTTCCCCACGCCCAATCCATCTGTTGGGAAAAGTTTTGTGTAAAAATTGACGAACCGCAGCGGTGTTGTGAAGTGGAGCACCATCATGTTGCGCCCACCTTCTTCGAAGCTAAAGGAATATCGCCTAAAAAATCTTCTAGAGTGTTTGTTAAAAAGTTTAAATAAACTGCACCAGTTTAATAATTTAATAATGCACCAGCTAATAAAAAAAATTTTCCAATGACATGGGTTCCCAAAATTGCTCCCCACACGTTCAAAGATCATGGTTGGCTATGAGTTTCCGGAATTGGTGAGGATTTACTGTGTCATAATAATGGCAATTATGACTATTAACAAAACCATTTTTATGACAAGTAACCTCATCAGAGAACATGAGCAAAAATTATCATCATCTTGCTTTAACATCTCGAGTGTTCACTGACAAAACTCCAGTCTCTGTTCAAAGTCTATTTTTAGTAACTCTTGGTGTAATTGGATGCGATAAGGATGTGCTGTGCTGTGTTTTTGTAAAATCCTATGTATCGACGTTGTACTAATACAATTGCAAGGCCTTCTTGACGCTGTGACATAGCTACTCTTTCGGACTTTAGAAAAGAACCTGATTTTTCTGGAAAACAGATAAGTATAGACAACTTTATATCAGTCGAAAGGGCATTCAGTTTTGCATTTATCCATAACAATTAATATGGGTTATTCCATTTGAAAAAAAAAAAAGTTTTTCAACTCGTAAGATTATTACATGTAGGTCTTTGTATTTCTGAGTCTGAATAACGTACGTTTTGCTCACAGATTAGAAGATAGAGTAATTTATGTCAAAATGAACTGTGAAAACTGCAGGTTTCTAACTCTTACGGTTTCGACGCTATCTAGCCTCATTTAGAGAGCTGAAATCGTGATTTTTTTTCAAAAACAACGAAAACGGTAAGTTTTAAACACCATGTAAATAATAAACGTTACCTAATATTAACTAAGGAGTTGAAAAACGCAATAATATACAGGGTGTTCCAAAAACACAATAATATATATTTAAAATAACAGTTATGTAGCGTCCACGCGAAATGGAACACCCTGTAAAGCTAAAGATATTTTATTTACATGGCCCACATGACTCCAGACAACTTTTATTAAAACCATTTTTTTTATAAATTTTATAGTTAGAGTTACAGAAGAATCCCTCTTAGGTGAAACACCCTGTATATACAGTTTTAAATTTAATTATATTGTTATCAGTGTCTTCAAAACTATTTCTAAGTACCTATCTGTATAAAAAAGAATTTTCACTTTATTTTCATTTTACTGAAAATATTCACTCAACTTATTGAAGGCTGCAAGCCTTTCCAGAGACATTTTGTAGCACGTTTTTTTCCCAAATATGGTAGACAAACTAATACAATTTAAAATAACAAATTTAATGAAAATATGAATATTTAGGCAGTATATGTGTTATTTAAGCTGACTTGCATAAATCGTTTTCTTTTTCAAAATTTTATGTATACACTTCGTTTGCGAATTCCACCCAATCTGTTTTGACTTTGATGGAGTGTCAAGTCACATTACTGATCACAATTGGATGATGATGGTCACGTGGTTACAACGGATCCGCGATCACGCATGCATGTGGATCCAGGCTAACAGTCGACAGTGTTTTCTATTCATTTCATTTGCGCTCAGTGTGCATTGAGAATATTTCCATCCTCTACTATCAAATCGAATAATGAAGGAAAAAAATAGTTTCAATGTACACCGAGTGCAAAAGTGCAGATAAATGGAAAACGCTGGAAAAATCTATTCTGTTTGGGAAAGAAACGTGTTAAACGTATGGTGTATTGTTGCGTGAGCGTGAGCAGTGTTGCCAGATTGGGGGTTTTCCCCCCCAATTTTGTTTNGAAAACGCTGGAAAAATCTATTCTGTTTGGGAAACGTGTTAAACGTATGGTGTATTGTTGCGTGAGCGTGAGCAGTGTTGCCAGATTGGGGGTTTTCCCCCCCAAATTTGTTTTTTTTTGTTGGGGGTATTTTTGGGGGTAAACATTGTTTGGGAGGATTTTTGGGGTTGAATTATTTATTTGGATATCTTTTGGAGTAAAATGTATGGTAAGGTAATATTGGTATTGGTAGGTATATCACATAATTCATAATTATAACCGCCACGCCGCCGCCATTATTCTATGGCTAGAAATTGGCCTCAATGATTTGGGATCGAGG